CTCACAAACCATGAGATCATGACCTGAGCTGAAGTCGGATGCTCAACCGACTGAACCACCCAGGCGTCCCAATATATATAAATATTTAAAAGTTTATTTATTTTGAGAGAGAGAGCAGAGGAGGGGCAGAGAGGAGAGAGAAAATCCTAAGCATGCTGTCAGCACAGAGCCTGACGCGGGGCTTGAACCCATGAACCGTGAGTTTGTGACCTGAGCTAAAATCAAGTGTTGGAAGCTTAACCGACTGAGCCACCCAGGTGCCCCTCTCATTGTGGTTTCGATTTGCACTTCCCTGATGGCTAATGATGTTGAACATCCCTTCATGTGTTTACTGGCCATTTGTATGTTTACTTTGGAGAAATGTTTATTCAAGACTTTTGCCCATTTTGAATTGATTTATCTTTTATTACTATCTTTGAAGCTTCTGACCAACGTGTAAGCGGAAGTAGAAGTGCACGCTTTCTCTCTGTGAGTTCCCAGGTAAGCAACTCCAGGCAGGAAAAAACAAAGCCAAGTTGAGTTTGTAAGTTGGGCAATGGGCTGCTTTACCTGCTGGCCAACTGCCCCACCCCACACACTAACCAGTAATTCAAGCGGTTCAGATTCACAACCCAACAGAATGACAAATCATATTCATCACAGATCTCTGGGGTCCCCTGAAAACAGCAGAGAACCCAATCAAGTCTGCAAATGCCTTTGGTTTAAAAAGAGACCTTAAAACAACTTTAAAAGAGCAACGCGAGCCCCCTCCACCCCACGGTGCCATGTTGGAAGCACGCAGTGCCGTCCTGGAAAAGGGCTGGGCTCGGTCAGGACCGCCCCAGACGCCACCTGAGTCTCAATATCCACCTCAAAGAAGTATCACCAATTCGGCAGGAATTATGAAGAACATGTCTACACAGGGTCTGCCTCATTAGGATTTCAGTAGATGAAGGATGATGCCATGAGGAAAATAAGACTTCCTCTCTCGTTAATAGCAGAGAATTACCCTAAGAGTAGCACAGGATACAGCAGAGAGGACAGAGCAACGTAACAGGGAAGACTGTAAAGAACAGAACAGTCACGGCAACACATCTCTTTCACTGACTTCAGAACTGTGACACTCACCAGTATGTATCACTTCCCACTATACTGAGATACGACTTATTACATTATGTAGTCACTTGGCTTTATCCCTTACGGTAGTTTTATCACGTATTTGTATCATAACAACAACTATAATCTTTGGGAAACAACTTGGGTTTCGTACCAAAACAACCGCAAGAGCCTCACTTAGGCTTAGCTTAAGGCTTCTACTTTCGCTAGACATTAGTAAAATAACCAGATCTCCAAATAACAAGTAGCTAAACTTAAAAAGGTTTGTTTTGACTTCTTTCCATGTGCAGAACTGAACGGAACACACAGACTCATCTTGTTTCCTGGATCTGTCACCTTCCTCACCGGTGGGTGCTTATCAGAATCACCTGGGTACCGGTAGTGGCCCGGCCCCACTGAATCAGACCCTCCAGGGTCAGGACCACAGGGCATCTAGAACGTTCCTGGAGATGCTCCTGCACACACACCCCTGGCTGTAATCACCATTCCAGGCACACCTCTGACAGTTCACTGCATCTAAAAAGAATTACTTACTTGTTACGATCCCAGCCAAAGCAAACACAAACTGATTTTCATCAGAATCGAGTTCCTTGACATCCCCGTCCAGTGACTTCACAAAACTCTCCATTGTCTGACCAGTGATGTTGAAAAACTTCAAAGCTTTATCCTGAAAGTTTGGAAATGAAAAGTATCACGCTTTTGCACCAATACCAGTACAAAACACAAGAGTGCAAGGGCGCAGAAGAAAAGCTTGTTTAAATTATCGGAAGCAGTAGTTAGAACTCTGCTCCTTCGTGACAAGTTCCCACTGAAAAGACCAGAAACAGGACGTTTGGAAAACTGTAGAAAATTACCCTCGCAGACAGAAAGTAAAACAAAATCCATGTGAGGGAAGAGTTCAAATTTGTGCAGCAGTGGAAGCATCAGAGTGGGCTCACCCAGCATGCACCAGGAAGAGCTAGAAAAATACAGTGTTTGTTCTAGGCATGAAACCATAGGTTGCAACCTTTGGAGAACAGATTTTCAAATACAATCGCAACAGAAACTTCAACTTGTCAAGAGATGAAGGCAGTGAGCAGGCTTGTCTGGCAGTTTAATAAATCTGTGTTACTTGGCAAAAGTATCTCCCAGTTTGCAGAACCTCTGAAGCATTTCTGGGGGGGGGGGG